TTGAGGTTATCATAGTTTCTGAAACTATTAAGTTTCGATTAAATGAAGTTCAATTTCGAATAACATAAAGCACTTTGTTCAATTATATTAATTAACGACCCTCAAGTTATTTATGATGTCGACAACATAACCTTCGAGATAGTGATTCCAATAAACAATTTGTGTGATTCATTTTATAATTTCTCTCCGGAGAAACTTATCATGGAAAATTCATATAATCTTAAGAATGTGATAGGTATACAAGGAAAAGGATTTCAAACTGCCTGAGGGAATTTCTATTTTTTTGATATCTACCGTACAACACTTTTAATCCAAATCGTCATTTGATTTATTTCTCAAAAATTGTTTTTGTATATTCTATTTACTTTAAAAAAATAAAAAGAAAGAGAAATTTTACAAATACCACCCAATGACCTACAGCACATATAGAGTAGTATAAATAAATAAAATTAATATTAATTGATTACACAGTTCATGAAATCTGTATTTAAATGACTAGACATTACCTTCGTAAACTCAAGATCGCTTATATTGTTAAATAATATCTATTGGTAAAGTTTTAGTTATATGCTAAATGGTAAAAAATAGCAATAAGAAAATATGAGTTGAAAATCAGATAAGGTATTTTATGATATAAATCAAAAAGATAAAAGAATGCCACGGTTAAGATCAAAATATCAATAAAGAACATTTTATTAAATGTCCTCACTTCGGCAAAAATAAAACTAGGCCGGAGGCCTAAATATGACGTGAAAAACAACTTCTCAATACTATAATGTACGAGAACAATAATGTTATTATTATAAAACAATAACTATCCACGTTATAGATAAAGAAACAATGTTATATTAACAAATACACAACAATTAATATAAGCTACGTATTTTAATTTGGAGGTTCGCCAACACAGTAATATGTGATTTTCCGCAATGTGCAGTTTAAATTATAGGAATTAAAAAGATACAGAGAACGTTTTTAAAAATCTCATTGTAGTTCTTTGTTTGCTTCTAAATACATATACATGTACTTAAAAAAAAGGAAATTTATTAGAAATTATATCTGTTTGTCATATTTTTTATGTATAACTAAATGAAAAGCTAAAATAAAATCAAAGGAAAATGTGTGTTGTTTTTAAATTTTCTCTAAGTATTTTATTTACTCTGTTATTACATTCCACCATTTTTACAACCATACTGTTTAACTCGATTGTCTTTTAAAACGTTCTAACCAAATATATTTAGATGTAAAAAAGTGGGTGTGTTATTACGTAATGAATTTTCAGTAATCGAATTCCAAGCGACAATTGCAATTCTTTTACCAAACCACTCCTAAATATTGTCGTTATAGTTCAACCGTTCTTTGTCTGTATGCTAAATAGGCATTGCAAACCCTATCAAATATTTAACTCTCGCAAAATATCTAAATAATAAAATGCTAAACGACTCAAAATTCCACTAACTCTTATAATCCGACTTAAGGCCAAACGAACACTTAAATAAAATTTTTGTACATTAACTGAACCACTATGGCTGTTTTTAAATGATCACTTTTTTAATAACAAATACTGAATTACGCTGCACACAATAATAGAAAAAAACTACGATAAATATAATTAATTAAGTTGAATTTTATGAGGATACAATTTTACCTTTTTTTTTTTTGTTAATTTAACTTGTTATTGTAATAGAAAATAAAAACATTTAATTCAGTATAAATAAACTCACTGCACTTTTATTAACAAATTAACATAAACTTTTCATTTAATAAGTTTACTTTTTTTTTTATTTGCTTAAAATAAAACTTAATATGTAAATTGAACTTTCGACATATTATTTCGGTTAAAACCTTAGGTTAAAAATATATCCATACATTTGTGTGTACTTAGTTTGATATCGTCTACAGTTATTACTGAATTTTAATTATACATCTAAAAAAGTCATTTAAATCTTTTTGACAATTTTTATGATATATTGTTAAATAATGAACATAATATAATATTATGAAGTTATTGATATATTTATTCTTATTTTTGAATTTTTTTATACTAGTACCTTTCATCTTCAGTAATATATTCTGATACTTAAGCAGTTGTGTACAATATAACAGAAGCTTTGAACACATTTACGATTCTACTAAAAGATCAAAACTTTTCAAAGAAATCACTTTTGTTAAAGGTTCAATTTTCCGTTCAAAATGTATTCCATTATATTCTGATGTATAAAATATAATGAAGCCATTAAAAAAATAACATCCTTAATATCCTTTAACTACTGATAATAAATATTGCTTACCTTTTTTATTTTTACATTTATATAGATGTAACATTGATACATTTTTTTTAAAAGTATTTACAATTTATTACTAAATTCTATATTAATGTACATTGGCTATTGTTAAAAATATTCTAATAAAATTATAATACGTGTTTATTACAAATATGTAATAATCTGGTTAATGTGAGGTATTGCTGACTTAGCACAAACATAATAATATCATTTTATGGTATTGATAGTAATACCACAAAATAATCCTATTTTGTTTAAGATAATTAAAGTAGGTGATTAACGATGAAGCAAATTAAATACCGTCGAATGGGCCAACTTTGGGTAGTGTATTAAATTTGGTGCAGATAAATACACATTTTCATTTTAGTCTTATCAATCTACAGCACTAGTAAAATATTTACAAGAACTGTTAAGAAACACAAAATAGTTGTGTCACAAAAATTAAGTGATAAAATCTGTAAACCCAAAGTTTAATACAGCGTCCTAAGTTGATACATTTAACGGTAGCTGAACTCAGTTTGAATCATTCAATTGAACAAAAATTCTCATTTTTATTGGTTTTTTAACGCCATCATTAAATAATTAAAAAAATTAACTTAACTTTTGAAAGTGTTCCGGAAATACTGACACTTTTATATATGTCTTAAATTAAAGCTTATGTAATATACTTTATTATGGAAAAAGAAAAACTTCAAACTTTAGTTTGTTTTTATGGTGAAAACTAACATCAAAGTTAATAGAAAATTAAGATTTTTATAAAAAAATTCTTTTTTTATATTTTTAATATCATAATGCTTTAATTTTTTGATAAATATATGGATCCATACAATTTTTTTTTTTAATAAAACCATTTCCCTTTATATATTTTTATATTGTTTATAAGTGTAATATATGAATATATTACACTTATAAATCATAAAACTTGTAATCAGGATATAAATAAGGATATAGGAGATCATGAAGCTTTTGGAATAATCCACCAATTTTTTAAAATTAAACACTATCTACAGATTTACATCGAAGCAATTTTTATGATAGTGATTTTAAACTTAACCCAACTATGCCACGTCCCCACTGTGCTGGGTTTTTTATTATAAAAATTTCGAATAAAAACTTTTTTTATAGGATACGACAAAATTAAATAATTTTTGAATACATTTCTGAAACAACAATTTTTTCAAAAAAACATTTTTAAAAATTACAGAGCTACCAAGTATTATAATTTGAACTAAAATGTGTTTAAAATTGTTAAATATCTTAAAACTTTGTATTATGATACGAGTAGTTATAATTATAGTAATAATAGTTATGATTATATGATAATTGCTATCATAGTATAAAGTTAAAAAAATATATTTTTCATTTCAAATAATTATAACTCATATAAAATATTTGACTAGCTTGGTAAAAATTATTTCTTCGTCCAAAATGGGTAAAGAAACGTTTAAGCGCGATTTCAACAAAAAAATTTAAATAATCTTCAGTAATTGAAGATTATTTAATTAACTAAGGCGTAGAATAACTGATATTATACGCCTTTTGTACTCGTTAAAATTGTTGTATATAATTTTTCAATATTTTTATCAATTTGCAAAAATAGGGGCGTAATGTAGAGCAGCAGATCATTCAGTTACCGCCTTAGCACTGATGTTCAGCTGCGCTGTTTACGGTTGGTTCCTGAATGGGTGACCATACGGGAGCTTTAACAATGACAAGCACCATACCCTCTTACTTTCTTCCTCAGCCAAAAGGTTGCGTCAGTTTAATAAATGGTGTGAAAATTCTCTCAAATAGAAAAATAGATTCGACCACAACAGTTGGGATACGAGGCTATAGTTTTTTTTCTTTTAATATATACAAGTTTATGTACATTATAAATTCACGTAGTGTAACACCAATCACTAATGTCTATTTGATTTAGTAAATTTGATTAGAAAACCTCACAACAATAAAAATCTACTCAAAATGAAAAAAAAAAACAAAAATTAATCTTAAATTTCATTACAGTAATTATATTTACGATTAATATTTTGGATACTTGAAAAACTTAATTATCGTTTACATTTTTATTTGATTAATATAAAGCCAAAGGTTTCAGAAGATTTACTGAAAAAAAGTCATTTGCGTTGAGTACATAATCTGCTTTACTTTGCAGATGATTTAGAAAAATTACATTTTAGAGGTTGCCATATCCGATTATGGGCGTATAAAATATCATGGCGAAAAAAAGAAAAATATATTTCAAGTAATAACTGTTTTGTGTGCGACAAATTTGACAAAATAAACGTCAACTTATTACACTTCCACGATAAATATTTTTGCTTTTAAATTTACTTGCTACATAGAAAAATATATAACTAAATGACACAATCACGTTTTAATATGGAAAACGATTTTTCTTAATATTATCAGTGGGATTTAGTATTTATAGTCAACCATTAAATAATATCGGATTTTTAGCTGATAAATGTGAATACATAACATTAGTAATTTTCTAAGTACATCCTCGTTTTTTATAATGAGAGCAATTAATTATATGCATACGTAATTATTCTATAAAATTTACAAGTAAGACAAATGATACCAAACTGTGAAAAATGTATTGAGTAAATGACGACGGTCATTTAAAAAAATATATCTTGATGCATTAATTATGGATTGATTTTCTTAAATTCATTAAATTTTTTTACCATGTGATATAAATTTATGTTTCAGCATCGAACTTCTTTTTCGAAATTCAATGTGAATAGTTGTCTTGAACCGTCTGCAATATTCCAAACCATTCAGCCTACCCATAGAGCGCTACAGATTCGTCCCAGGCAAAATTCCATGTTTGCCGGGGGAGGAGCCCTTCCAGGTTCTTGCGGTCCTCCAATAAGTCATTGCACGCTAATGTCAGACCGGCCGAGAAAGGCCAAATCAGCGGCCGACATCAAGTCACTGATACAACACGAATGCTCGCCGGCCCGGACAAGCCGATCAATGCTGCCAATGACAATATCGACGGAAAGACGTGTATCGTGTGCACCGTCCGGTTCTCTGATGGTCTCGGCCGTCAAAGAGCGCCGTTCGTGTAGTCTTTTCCCGTCAGCGTCCGACAAACGCTTTTTACCACCTCCACTGGCGTCGTCGTCAATTCAAAGTCAACCGACACAGTGTGTGTGTGAAGGGCCAATCGGCACATCGTCAGCGTGGGCCCAAGCCAAACGTGATTTTCTTTTGATGCCGTCGACGTCTCTCGGCGGAAGCCGTCGGACGTCCGGCGGAATGGACCACCTCTGTCCGGCTTCTATAACGCTAAAAGACAGGCGGCCGTCATTCAACAACGTCATAGCACAGGTAACGGCTGAACGGAGGCCGTCGTCCAGCATGCTTAGGATCAGCAACGTTTAGAATAGCCTCTCTGTATTTTTATTATCCTTTACTTTTAACTTTTACGTTTTAATATCATTTATTTGTTTGGTTTTACATTTTTCAAATGATGAAAATTCACTTTATTCTCATCATATTGATTAATCCTGAGCAAGTTACACACAAGTGTAAATATTTATGACAGCTGTTGCTGAGATTGATTTCAAAATGCAGTCACACAATAAACAACTAAACAAGCATTCATTTTACACGTATACCGAACAAATATTTGAGTTAACTAATATATAAATGTAATTTTTACATTTAAGTTAGGTCGTAATTTTTATATTTCTTTGTATTAGTAAACATTAAGCACCCTCTCTTATTTCTAACTATAGTTTAAAAAAGAAATTATTTCAAAAAGTGTCATTACTAGGTTTAAAAATAGTTCTAAAAAAGAACGAAAATTCGAGTGCCTTAAGCAATTTTGCCTAGAATAGCCACACAATGTATCAAAAAATGTATGTGTGCTAGTGTCATATTTCTTTCACTCTCAAGTGTTGGTATGGTATTTTTTGTCGTTATTCTAAATTGATTGTGTGTAGTTAAACTGAGCAACTTGAATAAATATAGAACTATTATTTTTTAAAGTCTCAGGTCAACATTTTTGGCGTTAATATTTTGTTTAAAAACTTATCAAATACATTAAAGAAATATAGAATATATAAAATAAGAAATATAAAATAAGTGTGACATTTATTTAAGTTTTAAAAGTTGTTTTATTAAATCATAACACGACCAATATTATACGTATTGATCTTTTTATTGACTCAAAAGACGCACAAGTACCCTAGAGAAGCAGCATTAAGAATCACACTTTAAAGTCAAGTACTCAATAAAGGCACAGTTTTAAATTTCAAGAGAATCGCGGGGATTAAGCAGAGAGAGAGATATGATTTTTAAGTACTGTTGACTTTAACCTTTCAAGTCGGTAACCACGCGGTTATAGTTATTTTTCTCTTTGCTTAATGATCCTGGTAAATTTTACTTACATAATAGCTACTATTTGACTTCACTCGTTCAAATAGTACATTTTACATTATGTGCAGGCATTATGTACATGTGATTCACGTACATTAAAGTGTAATGTACATGAATCATAAACTTTCAATATTTTCATAGCGTTCAACTCCACTCGCATAAAGACCTCGACAATACCTTCACATTTCAACTGTTGGGTAAACAAAAAAAAAAACATAATTTTCGTACCTTTTTTATAAGTTTTATATTATTTTGAGAATTTAATAGTCTATTTCATATTTCACCTTTATCTATACATTACCAACGAACTTCCTTATACAGCTGCAATGTTTGCATAGTGCCTTACAAACAAACTAAAAAAAATCTAATTAATAATATCACGATATTTATAGTAGTTCACTTTATAGCACGTGATTTTTTAAGAATACTACCCTCTTTTTTCATTAAGTAATGATTTTTTAATAAATACTTATTTATTTATTATTATTAACATTACGGGAAATAGCCCAAAAAATACAATATGTATTTGACATATTGTACAAATTTAAATTAAATTTATTTTTATCAATTCAGAAAAGTTTATTGCAAGAAAAAAATATTGAAAAGACATTTTAAGTGTAATTTACAAAAGTTAAATGAAAACCTTTTATTATTAAATGAAGAGCGATTTAAATACATTTTTAACTGGTCTATAGCCCGTTTTGTCATATTAATTTTTGAGACATTAGCATTTAAACGTTTAGAAAAGGCTAGAGAGAGTGTACAAAGGGTCATATATTAAAAAAATTAACAAAATCATTTACAGATTACATTAATTTATACACTTGTAATTTGTAACTATAGAAAATTTATATTAATTTAATTATGTCGAATTCAATTTAAATGTAAATATATATATTTTTTTCATTTTCTGATGAATTAATTTTCTGATTATCTTTTCAATCTCCACTTAACGAAATTGTTTTGATCGCATTTACATTGAAATGAGGTTTTGCTGTAATGAAAGCTGATTATAGATCAGTTAAAAATTTACCTAGCCCGTTCTCTACATAATAGTAAAAAAAAATATTAGAATTCTATTTAGCTTTTGAAAGTTATCCACAATCTACCCTTGAAAATGATTTTTATTATAATTAACTTAATATTTAATATGGTTCACAAAAATAATACAAATTATAATATGTTCATTTTATTAATATTATTAATATTTTACTATCCCATTTTAAAAATTTTGGGCGGTGTTCTTAATTAATCAATCTGTATAAATTAAATTTTGCTAAATCGTCACTTAAGATACTACATCCGATATCTTACTTTTTGTCAAATTAAGTTAGTAACAATATGTTATCTAAATTTTCACGAGAAATCGTTCGGTGAGCTGAAAACAAACATATAAATAACAACAAAAGTATAAAATAAATGTATAAAAATAAAATCTTCTGGAAAGTTGATAAAAGTGAGATATCGAGTGTTGCATCTTAAGCGACGAAATATTTAATATAATTATAAGTACAGTGTTTTCAAATAAACCGAATTTTCTTATGCACCAATAAATTCATAAAATTCATTCTGTCTAAGAATATAAGAATAGAATACTAATACTATATATTATGAAACTATTTTTTTACTTAATAAATAAATATGTACTTTAATAGTAGTATACCTAATAGAATAATAATTGGTTGTTTTATTTAGTGTTATAACAAATAAAAATTATAATTTGATTCGGTGTATTAAAAATCGAAAACCGAAATGGGTAGTCCGCAATTAATGATATAAACTTATTAAAAATAACTTAGATAATACTTCCATAAATATCGTCTTTTAAAACATTTTCAATATTTTATTTTATATATAATTTTTTTTCTAGATATTGTAGTAAACAATTGATTTTAACATAAATTGTGATAAGAAACTTTTGTCAGTTTAACGACCAATTATTGCGAAATTTATTAATAGTCTGAATAATTGCCTGAATTTATGGACTACAATGAGATAAAACAATTTAAGTTCAATCTAATATTAAAAAAAAAACACAATAATATATGTGTTAATTAAATAGCCTTTGAAAGTGCCAAAGTAGTCCACTTTATCTATAATAGAATTTAGATTGTACAAAGCTAGCGTAACTTTTAGTCATATAACCTTATCTGGGACAATATTTGACTATTATATTATATTATTATTATTTAGTTCAATGTTGTATGACTGCAAAAATGTTTGAAAATTCATTAAAAGCATGCGACAACATTATGTATAAATAATTTTAAAAAAGTACTTAGTTTTTTATTAAACTATCATAATGTAGTATATTGGACCAAAAATTATTTTAAGATATGTATAAAATGTAATAATCTTAAAATAATATAAATATTTGAATTATATAAGTTTTCTACTGAATATAGTAAATTTTAATTATATTCAAAAATTACAAGCGGTTACTGGACCACAATATACTTAAACTCTATTATATACATAATAGAGATTAATTGAATAATTGTATTTATTTTATAAAATTATATAAGACTTGGATGTAGTTTTTAGTTCTTAGATGTAAAACTATACTTAATTTATATTTTGTAGCAATTTATAACTTTATAAAAAATTTAATAATGTACATAAAAAATTTAGATCATTCATTTATAATTAATTAATTATAAGATGCATAAAATAAATTTGTTATATTTAGTTAGGTAAAAATTAAATATATCCTAACTCGCTCTTTTCTCTCTTTTTCTCTATTTCACTATCTATCCTTTTGTATATAAATAAAATTTCCAATTCTCTATTTATGGAAATAATTATTAAATTTAGATTATTTAACTTATTTAAAATCTTACTTTATTTTCAGAATATATAATTAGATATAAGAATGATGTAACAGTCTAAATTTTAAATTTAATATTTATCCGATTGTTTAATAAATATTATAACGTTTGAGTTTAGAATTTTTTATCATTCCTAATAACCTCAATATAAAAAAAATCTTTTATTGCTGTACAAGACATATACAGTTATCTATAGTCCAAAACCTGCACGGGGTACAATATATATAGAATAGTATATTATAAATTATATCAAATAATTAAATAATTATAATAAATTATAGTGAAAATGTATTAAATATACGTTCATTGTACTAAAATCATATGCGTGATTTAATTACAATCAATTAGTATGTACTTAAGTTTTTGTACAATACCACACTGTTTAAAAAAGTGGACAATTTTTTCGGTTTGAGAACGGACCAATAAAACGTAACAAGAACCTTCAAAAAAACAGTTATTTTTAATTCAGACAAACTATGACTGGACCAATTTGTATTTTAGGTATTGTTATAATACACTATTTATTCACCGAAATTATGTTTTAATTTTATTATTCATATTATCGTATTATCGACAAAAAATATTTTAATTATTGATCATAATAATTAACATGATTATAAAAATATAGTTCATTGAAACGCTAATGATGTTGATCCCATAGTGAATCTAAACAAACATACATTAAAAATAAAAGTATAAAAAGTAAACACTAATTCTCACTTTCTCACTAACACTCACTTTTTCTTCCAAACTATCTAATAATAAAGTAGTAACCGGCCTGAAAAGAGGCTTCCAAAAAGAAGAGTAAAAAATATCGTGTTTAAAAGACGAATAGTTAAACAATTTCTTAGATTTAAATTAGCATAATAAAGAAAAAGGGTTAAATTTAAACTAAATATTTTATGTAAAAACTGTATCTATGTGTAGTAGAATTCGTTTGAGCTGTTCTTAAACGTTTGGCGATTTCTCTGGATTCTTGGTTAACTTCAAACATATTTATATACACATTGTAATAGTTTTCTTAAAAACTAAATTTGTAAGAAACCTTTGATTCGCAAACCCAGATTTAAAAAGTAACTCACTTAAATGAAAATTAGGTTTAAAATAATGAAGTTCCTCAAATAGTCTTTTCTTTATCCTTTATTTTTAAGTTACAACAGTATAAGACCGGACTGAACCTAAACGTGATCTAATCGATTCAAACATGCAGAGCTCTATACCATGTATAATACTCATGTCAACACATTGAAGAATCAACCTAAATTATCTTTTATTGTAGCTTGTAAAATTTATTATATAATTACCAACACAAATGAAGTTTAATATAATGTAAAAATCGTATATATAGCAAACTTCAACTTCAATGAAATAAATAAAATACTTCAATTTTTTTTTCATCTCAACTAATATTTCTTTAAAATTACAAAAAAATTAGAAAGGATTACATTCGAATATAAAATACTTTTATACAAATCTAATACTCATAAGGCGAGACTATAACTCAGAGAGTTATAGTGGCAGAAGCATTTGTCTCTCAAGACAAATACTTGTACAAAAATAGTCATCAATATTGTCCATTAATGTCCAGTCGGCAAATTTGGATATATGCTAAAGATTTTTTTTGCTGTTTGAATATTTTTGATAAGCATTAAGTTGAATCTTTTGTTTCCCTAATCAAAAAAAAAAAAAAAATAGAGTTTCAATCCAACGTTTGAAATTTTAAAAAAACAAGAATTATCGCAGCAATAATATATTCTCACAAATTGAAGTCTAACTTATTTCAAATTTAACTTGAGGCATTTACAATTTAAGATATTATAATTGATTCTTGATAAAACCAAATGTTGATGAAGTTTTCGTATTTTAAGCCAGCTTAATTCAGTGACCATGGCCTACAAAATCCGCTTCATAAAGTTTCGAAGCCACTCGGGTCTCTGACCACAGTCGGCATGATTAGAGATTAACGCGATAACCGTTAAGCCAAAATTTGCACATCCTAAGAAAATAAAATAAATTAACTGCGTGAAAATATTGCTGAATAAAATAGGCAAATATAAAGTTCATTTTAGACACTTGAATGTTTCAGTCATGTATGGAGTGTGCAATAATTGGATTTCAAATTTGGATAATATACACCCGTTATTTTCCAACCATTCTCCAAGTAGATAAATATCACCTAACCATAAAATTTTATAATCATCAAGAAACTTTATTTACAAGAATTAAATAAATTTACTATTATCACCGTGTAGGTATTTTCAATTAAAATTCTGATTTAATTTATGTTGTCGTAATTATGAAGTATACCCTTTCAACTATTAATAAAAAGTACAAAGAACTTACTCTTCATTAATACTGAGAAAAATGATCATTTAATATTTTAATTATAATCTTATTTTAAAACATTTTTTTTATTGTAATGATAGTTCAAATACTAACTTTTTTAACACACTCGATACACTATAAATAAATTGTATGCTTACGTTTTAGCTACGATGCGTAGCTGAGAAGGTATTAATTTAACCACGATATGTTTTTTTTTTTGTGTCAGTTGCCATATTTTCTCAACTCACACTGGACCGATTTCTATCAAAGATTCGTCAAAAGATCACAAATCGTATCTAATTGTAGACATTACCCTTAAAAATTGAAAAAATTTCCCTCGTCACCCGTAAATATTCCCCCCTTTCCAAAAAAATTACAATTTTAAAAATCAGTAATTTTTGACATGTTTTTCTTAAAACTGCCATAATATTTTCAAAAATTAACAAATCAAAATATATTTTTTAAATAGAAACCTTAGGTATTTCGCTTTTATTTGGTATAATTTATTTGACATTCTGACCTTTTACCTACCCCCCAAAAGGGAGATTCAAAATAGAAACTTTTTTACAAAAATCAACTTTTTCAACTTAACTTTTGAAAATGTTCTAGAAATACAGCGTCTTTTAAATATATGTTAAATTGAAGCTATTGTTGCGTACTTTAACTCAAAAAAAATTTGTCACGACGACATATCTTCTACGCTCAAATAGACGCTGTAATTAAAAAAATGCTATTTTTGTGTCAACTTTTTCGATTTTATAATTTCAATTTTAAATTGCTATAATTTTTCGAAAAATGTATCAACATAAATTTTATTTTCCTAAATACATTATATAATATACGATTCATTTGACATACTTTTTATTTAAATCAGACGATTTCCCCTTATACAGGGGGCGTTCAAAACTTGAAACATACGTATAAAACGTAGAACTTCTTCAACTTAACTTTTGAACATGTTTCGAAAATACTGCGCTCTTTTAACATTAGTCAAATTAAAGCTTGTATTATGCACTATAAATTAAAAAAATTTAAATTTCCTCGACACCTTATCTTCTATGTAGAAATTACCGTCGAAATACAACAAAAAATGTAATATTATATTACATTTATATTGACATTATAAAAATTTAAATGTTGACTTTTTTTTTCTTAAAACTCCCATTTTATTATAACTTTTTAGACTACCATAATTTTTTCAAAAATAAACAAATGAAAATTTTTTTTTTATTGAAACCTTAGCTATTTCCTTTCATTTTATTTAAATTAATTCAAAATCTGACTTTTTTTACTTAACTTTTGTAAATGTTCAAAAAATACAGCGTCTTTCAAATTTGTGTTAAATTAAATCTTATAACACTATCATAAAAAAAAAAAGAAAATTAAAAGGGCTATAATTTATTTTGACATAAAATTAGAAATAAATAAAAGGATATAGTTTTAGAATTTAAATGAATGTGAAGAATTTTAAGTTTATAATTTGTCAATAGATTATCACGAATAAAAGGGATAGAGTATAGGAATTAGACAGAATCAGTGAGTTAGTTAAGTTTGTTTCGTTACAAGGTGAAAATAAAAATATAGGGTGCATGATCATGGATCTTTTTGTTAAAATGAAATTACTACACATGGTTTTTCTTTAAATGTAAAGTGAAGGGAAATTACACACGGATGACACTAACCCGAATAATATTAATTCAACTATGAAATGTGCAATGATTTTGGGGAGGATTTTACGACTCTTGATATTTTTTATCGATTGTAATATACATAGAAAACATTGTGTGTTTATGTAAAATGCAACTGTTCGATTGTTGGGTGCCAAACTTTAATAGCTGAATTAATTTCTATATGAATGATAAACACAAATAAAACTTTACGTTATACACATCCAATTACGATTAGAATGATAATAAATAGTTGCTAACAATAATTTTTAAAATTCCCATTATTCCTACGATAAAAATTATTCATTACTTATTTTAAATCTATCTTTAATTTTTTATAACATGCTTAGAAATATACCTTGTCTCCTTGCCTTGTGTTCAGCTAGCTTGATCGTTTGTAAAACGATAAAAAATATAATAAGAGCACTGATTTAAATTTACATATTTATTTTATAATCTTATAAAAATTGTTAAAATTGAAATATTACTTCACTTTGATTTCTTTTTACACTTGGTATCTGAATATATATATTCTTTTATACTTCAAAATAAAAATTTATAGAACCTGACAGATTATGAAAATCAATCCCTAGTGACATGTCACAAATTATTGTCTTACCAATAATTTCAACCATTCGATGTGCTAGGGTAATGACTTCAATAAACTATCAATATTTTATGAAATTGTGTATTTGATGTGAGAGTCGATAGAGTAAGAGATAGTGTGGCTACACCATCGAAGATAATACTCGTCGATGAACGGCCTTTACGGAGTCTAGAACTGCTTGCCTAAAAGAACGTGACAGAATATGAGAAACAATCCCCAGTGACACGTCACAAACTATTGTTTTACGAATAGTTTTAACCGCTTGAAGTTCTAGGGTAATGATTTCAACAAACCATCAGTATCTTGTGCAATCAATCAAACTCTTATCTATCTAAATTTAATATAAACTCTACGATCTCCTTAGTGACATATCATAATCTATTTTTTTTTACCAACAGTTTTAACCGCTTGATGTGCTAAGGTAGATTTATGCACTTATTAAATAGACAATCCAATTGAAGAATTAAAAATTCTTAATCGGAACAACTCACAAAATACAAAATTAAAAAAATTAATCGTTTTAATAATTCTTAAACATTTAAAACTAAAAATAAAAAAGTTATAGTTATTTTTATAATTTCATTACTTATGAGAGAATTAAATAAAAAATACCAAGCGTGAAAAATTTTCCAAGTTCAAGAGAGCACAATCACGAAACAGTCTGGTGCAGAGACGCTTCATGACCAGATTTTTAGAAAAAATTAGGTGGTAAATGAGCCAGAAAGCGCTTTTTTATAGGCCTGTTTTGGAGGGGAAAATTTATGTTTTAGATTTTAATTGAAAAATGCTTCTTATTGGTTAGTCAATTAAACTTAAAGGGACACGTAAACAACCCATTATTCTACTATTTTGAGTTGATGTCACATGCGGTCATTGGTGTTTTATATATATTATCTCCCATAATAATGTTATTTATTAGAATACATATCATCAATATGAAAATATAAATAAAATAAAATTATAAGTGCTAAATATCTATAATTATAAGTTAAAAAAACATTGTCCCGACGATCTATCTTCTATTTGAAATGTCCGTCGAAGTTGAACAAATTTTTTGAATACTTAATAATAAATAAATTTAATTTTATTAAATATTTATTCATATATTACACTTATAATTCATAAAACTTGTAATAACGATATAGGAGTCCATTTTGTTTTTGTAATAATCCACCAATTTCTTAAAATCAAACATTATTTTTAGATTTGCATCGAAGTATTTCATATGACAGTAATTTTAATCATTGTCAGATATCATCTATACTTTTCCCCAACTATGTCATATCTACACTGTACTGCGACCCCACAGTGCTACCGTTTATTAATTATATTTAATTAATGTTTAAGATTTGGTTAAAAAAAAATGTCTGTATAATTCATAAGTAATATTTTAATATACTACAGGGGGATTGATTTTATTAACACTAGACACTCGTTTCTCTTAAAGTATTAATTTTTGAATTTTGTTTTTAGCTTTTGCTAATTACATATGTATCTCTAATTATCTATTACAAAATATTTTTTGTGTTCACCTCTTATGTCTTATAGATGTGTCAACATTAATTTTTTAATAGAAACATACATATTTAACTAGCTTATAAAAAATAAAGTGATTCGATTAAGAAAATAACCTTTGGACCAGTATTTAAGAAGTTATTAACAATTAAAAGTAATAGCATGAGGTGAGGAGATGGAGCTATATTTTCACATTTAATTGGCCTCACTCCTCCTCCCGCCAAGCTATAGAAATATTAATAACTTCTGAAATACTGGTCCAGAAGTTATTATTGACCAGTCATTTTTTTAATTAAATTATTTGCTGTTTTAAAGTTAGTTGAAAATGTATTTTTTAATTAAAAAAAATAAAATAATTATAACATAAGGGATGAACATAAAATATATCTTATAATAGTTAAATAAAAATAGCTAACAAAAGTCAAAAAACTTTTACAGAACAAGTTATTATTTTAAGAAAAGTAATAAAACAGATGGTTTACAGTCAATATTTATCTAATTATTTATAAAAGTAAAACACAATAAATACGGAAATTTTACAATTCTTCGACTAATATTTTGATAAAAACTTTTTTATTGTAGTTATTAGTAATTATTTTCCAATGTTTCCATTAAAAATTTTCACGTCTAGCTTTTTATTATATTCTGTGATTTTGTATACAAACGCAAAAATGGGTCTAATAGAGCAACTAGATAAGTTACTACAGTATTCAGGATGGAACAATTTAAATGATTTGAAATTCATACATTATTATAAAAAACCACATTTTATTCAACATTTGGAAGCAACTCCAACACGTATTAAAAATTATGATTACAAAGTAAGAGTTTTAACTATTTATCTCGGATGTACATATGCAAAGGTTATGCAAAATCTTTATCCAATTATTAGAAACCTTATACAAGATTGTCAAAGAAAATTTTATATAAAGAACGATTTCATCAATGGATGTTTTTCCACCAAAAAACTTTTAAACATAATATCCTCATTAATTGTTCCACTGGCAACATTATTGAAAGGTGCCATGAATACTCTTTATTTATTACGTAATAAACCATGGTGTAATATGAAAAGTTATTCCTACATGGTAAGTTTTCGATTAGAGAAATTTGAAAATATTTTTGATCATATAAACAAACATATTCAATCACATTATAATATTTTTGCATACCATGAGGTGTTAAAAACTGTAGATAATTTTTTTATATACATAATGTCAGAAATAAATAATGACACTACACAATTTTGCGTATTTGTACCATTTGATAAGAATTGTTTATGGAATGAGTGTATTCAAGAGTACAAACCCAGTATTGATGTATATCTTCCATTATTATTTTTGGAATTCATAACCAAAAAAATTAAAAATTATATCCAGACAGTAATTACAGAAAAGTATTTTCACCTCGGATTTATATTTGATCCAATCACTGAAGAAACTACGCTTGCAACATCAGAGGATCTAATGGAGCTAGGTATTAAAAATACAAAAATATTTATTAAAATATCAATTCAATTACTAATAAATTTTTTAATGAATCTAGAATTGGAATTTAAAGAAACAGATGAATATCCTCTGAAGCCAATACTAATAGAGACTCTTTAAATGTTGTAAGAATATAAGTTTTGTTTTAAATTTATATTTTATAATAATCACAATTTACATAATTAATTTTAATATATTTGAATAACTATTAAAACAAAATAATATAATTTCATTTTTAATTTATTTTTTATCAGTAAAAATGAACGGTATAATTATTTGATAATCTTAAATATGACACTAAAAATAGAAAATTAAATTTTAGACATTTTCATAAACAAATCTAGTTCGCTTGTTTAATATATCAGTTAATTAAAAATAATGGCAATAAAAAATTTAAAACTGAAGACTGGAATTTATACACTGATTTATTTATTGGTGTACAACCAATATAATTATAATATTGGTATATAATAATAATTTCGTGATTACTATAATTTGGAGGTGTGTAACTTTTCCATGAAAATGACATACTTTTGAATGAGAGTGATAAGCAATAATTGCTTTAACAAATTTCTTAACATGGTATTAATGCCAAGGTTGTAAATTATAGTAATCACGAAAAGATAGCGTTTTCTTCTGTTCTTTTCTCAATACGTATTTCAATGTTTAATACCGTAAAATAATACATGAAAATTCAAATTTTCACAAACTTTAAAATGCTATAGAATATTTACTACTGAATATTAATAAGATATTTTTTTATTAACATTGTTCTTAAATTCTACTCTACAAAATAGCTATCTTAATTTTTTTTTTACATTTTATTTAAAATTTAAAAATAATTAATATTTTTAATAAAATGTAAAAAAAATAATTATTGAGATATAGCTGTAGACCTAAAGTATAACTATTATTTAAAAAAAAAATCAGCTAAAAATATTAACTGGATCAAAAGTTATTTAAGTTGTCAGTGAGTGGTGGGCCACTCTGTATATATATTGTAATTATTTTAAGGCTAGCTATACGATTTTTCTTAAAGTAATCATTGTTTTTGACAAGTCATTTTTTTAATAAGATCATTTTTCATTTTATAAGAAAGTTAACATTTAACTAAAATGCAATATATACATTTGGTACTTTTATAAAAAATAAGGAATATGCCTAAACATAGTAAACGAATTATAAATCAAGAAATAAATACAACTCAACTAAACCAAAAAGACTCTTCATAAATAAATAAATGATAACATTTTTTTATCGCTTAGTTATAAATAGTTATGACTATGCTAGAGCAGTCATATCCGTTATTTATCATACATTATTGAAAAATCTTAAAAATTGTATTATATTTATAACAAACCTATTGTTTTGCACAAAAGTGTAAGTTTACAGATATAAACTGTTTAATTACTCAATTTTTATTTGTATTTTCACAATTCAAAACTCTAAAATTGTTATACAAATATACTATGAGCAAAAAATTTTAATAATTTGCAGAACTTTTTAAGCATAAATTTATTCTGATATAATTTTTTTCGATAGTATATTGTTAAATAGACAATGTTGATCCCACATATTTTTTATTATATTAGGTCATACGAAGTAAAAATGCTCTTTAACTCAAAATACTATTTTTAATATGACTTAATTAAAGTTAATATTTAATATTGTATATAATATTATTCATTATTATAAAGGAAATAAAATACCACACATTTTTTGCGAAAGTGCGTCTTGATCAATCTAAAAAAATTATATTATGATTATATTTTACATATTATGTTGATGATCCTATAAAACATAAGGGTTGATTCTAAAAAATAATTATTAGCTAATAAATCAAGAGATATATATAACTAAAAATGACTAACATTTTCTTCTTAAACTATATTAATTTTTAGAGTAATCGAGTGGCTCATGATAAACCGATCACTCTATATATATTAAAAATGTTTATACTTTTACAAAAACACTCATTAATATATTATTGCCACTTATATTATACACATTTTATTCTCATTTACTTAATTCGTACTACATATTAATTAGCATAGAGAAAGATGCTCATGTGACAATTCTACTCGTCTGTAGCTTTGTACTGACGTCGAACTAACAAAAGTTGTGTTTGAATGGCCGTTATAGACATAGTTTTTGATGCTATCACTTATGTATTATTTATATTATTAATAACTTGAATAGTTTTATACAACGACTCGTCTATCGAAAATTTTCATCATAACCAACCAACTCCGCTCACTTGGGTATACCAACCAGCCAACTGTACTAGGATTCAGGTCAGATATATTGTACATTACATATAAATTATATTTACTGAACATCTAAAATATAACTTTGTCGTTGATATAAAACAATAATTTAGCTATAATATACAATATCTCTCTAGTAACTAAGGTACATGATTGCCAGTGTATCCACTACACAAAAAATTAGAATCTATATTAAAAATAAAATAAAAGCTTCTGTCATTTTATACTTTTATTATATACATATTCTTTTATTTTATACATATTATTACAATATTTTTTATTTAGTAGAAATAATGATGTGCAAATAAAAATTATAGAATACAATTTTTCGAGCATACAATCTATTGTACCGGATATCCAAAATACACACTAGATAGCTGTCATGAATAAGAAAAATGTCACTTCTCAGATGGTGGTAGTGAAAGAAGTAAAATATAACAATGCAACCAAAGGCTTTTCTCCTCCTTCGTTTAAGATTGATGACACATTATCTGACTTGACATAACATTTCAAGTTTCCGCCCAACCGCCACAATTCTGGGTTAGTGAAAAAATATCACCCAGTCATAAGATTTATCTTATTCGTGATCTCCTATGGAGAACGTCTCCGGATAAGGGAAAGGTAGTATAAAAGTAGGTTAGAAAAACTGTTGTAGGACAATAAACAGTATCGTCACCCTAAAAAAAATAGAGATTCATTAATGAAAGTCATGTATAAACATTAGTATATCTATTACACTATTTGAAGTATTAATGGAGTTAAAAAAGTATTTGATTCCAATTTCAATAATAAAAATATTAAATGAAAGTCAAAGTTACAGATAATATAGTTGAGTTTGGGGTATAAGAGAAATAATATTATTCATAAGAAAAATTCTAAATTCGTCATTTAAAATTTGAATATTGATGGACATGTTTTATTTGTTTTTTAAACGTAAATCTCATTTTGAACGCTTAAAATCATTTTGTATTCACAAAACCACACAGAAGATTGATGCATACTGAAATGGTTCATACCCTGTCAGAAAATAAATTATAAAATAAACTCAACTATCATGATCAAGTCACGATTATCATATTTGTTTCCTTGTAGTCATTAATCACTTTGTATTTGTTCCAATTCTCTTTTAGCTATTTGTTTTTTAATTTACATTCTAAAAACAAACCAAAATTGATTACAGGCTTGTTGAAATTCCCAAGTTTATTTATTAAAATCCATTATTTTCTTTTTATTTGCTGCGTTTAATCTTGGTATAGAAAACTGTTTGTTGTTATTTTAGTGTTAAGTATTTGAAACACATAGAGAAGTACAAAAATAATAAAAAATATGCTCAAAAAAGAAGGTGATTATTGACATTTTTTTTATATGATTGTATAATTATTTTATAGTTGATATACTTCTATAGTAGATAATCAAATAAACACCTAATATTTACTTAACAATTTATAAAAGTAATAGAAAATAATCATAAACTTTCTGGATGAAGCTTATAACTGATTTTCTTATCTACAGAATGTGCTAAGTTAGTCAGTGCCCTCCAGCTACTTTACAATTTTGTTAAAAAGTTTTAGGTGAAAATATACAGAGTGCCTTAAATCTAACTCACAAATTTTATTAATTTCTTTGGCTATGTTTAAAGCATATTTTAAATTATTTTTGTTTATGATAAATAATAGAAAATATGCTTTAAACATAGACTATGAAGTCAATAGTTTAAAAAAAAATTAATTAAACAAAATAATTATTGAATCAAAAGTTATAAGAATTATCAGTTTGATCCAGTTTATTCAGTATATGTTAACATTAAATGTTAAATTAAAATAAATTTATGATTTAATCTCAACACTTTTTTTTTTTTTACAATAGCTGCAAAGAAACAAAATTGAAAATTTTCTTTTCTAGATTTCATGTAGGTTTTGATTTCAAAATCGTTTTTAGGTTCCGATTAGAAGCTTAGGTTTAAATTCATTATTAATTAATTATTACATTTTTAGACAAAATTCAAAAATTTCCTATTTTAGAAATTTATTTGTGAAAAAATTCGAATCATTTTCTTAATTAGATCATTAATAAATAATCTAGTTGAATATATATGTTGCTATTTGAAAAAATAAAATTGACAACCTTATGAATATAGCGAATACTTCATAATTTATTAATTAAGAAAAACATGCATAAAAAAAGAAAGATTAAATGAAAAAAAAAATGACTAAAGTAATTATATTTTTTTTGTAAACTTAACCCAATTAAAATAATTTATCACTTTTTAATTCCACTGATGAAGAGATCAAAATTATTGCTAATATTTTGGATAAATAAAAACACAAGTAATTGAAGAGTTTGAAAATGAGCAAACTTACCATAACGTTTTTTGGAAATTGTATATAATGTTTAAACATAGTACTTGATAAAAATAAATACAATATTTTACAACTCAGTAATATAGGATTCCTTTAAAGAAACTAATGGATTATTTTACAAAAAAAAATTAGTTTTAAAGAAATTTTAATTTAAACCTAAATTTTTTTTGAAACTATTTGCAAAAATGCACTTACGCTGTTTTTTTACAGTATTCTCCAATCCTCATTATTTTATAAACCGATCGAACTCTAACTAAGTAAAATCCAAACGAGTGAAAATCGGCTTTTAAAATGCAGTCAAGACTAAATCCTATGCCATAAAAGTTCAAATTTCCCTATTATAAGGGTGGCGATATGACCAAATTATTTAGATTACTAAGTAAAAACGCTTTGATGTAAATCACATTATGACCTAAACCTTAAAATATTCGCTTTTAACGTTATTTGTTATAAAGGCGCTACTATAAACAATTTGATTGTATATTGATAATCAACTAAGATGATTATTTAAAATAAAATAATTGATTTCTCGAAGAAAAAAATCAATATTTTTCTACCTTACATACCAGAAAGAAATTGCAACACTCATGAAATTGGACAGATTCACTTGTGAAGTTTGATTAAGATATGATGTTTCACGGTAAAAACTCAATTCAGAAAAAATTTCATCAGTTCAGTTACTATAAGGCTATTAATATTAGTAAGTAATTCAAAAACATTTAGCTTATTTAATTAAAATCAATTCATTCTCAAGGTTTTAAATACATTCATTTCATTGTAATATTATAGATTATTGTTATTTTATTTACTAATTTT